TGTGGGACTGTGCAAATAGCGTGTCGGACTGTGCAAATAACGTGTGGAACTATGATAATAACGTGTGGGACTGTGCAAATAACGTGTGGGACTGTGCAAATAACGTGTGGGGCTATGAAAATAATGTGTGGGACTGCAAATAATGTGTGGGACTGTGCAAATAACGTGTGGGACTGTGCGAATAATGTGTGGGACTGTGCAAATAACGTGTGGGACTGCAAATAACAGGTGGGGTTGTGTGTATAATGTGTGGGACTGTGCAAATAATGTGTGGGACTGTGCAAATAATGTGTGGGACTGCAAATAACGTGTGGGACTGTGCAAATAATGTGTGGGGCTGCAAATAACGTGTGGAACTGTGCAAATAACGTGTGGGACTGTGCAAATAACGTGTGGGACTGTGCAAATAACGTGTGGGACTGTGCAAATAACGTGTGGGACTGTGCAAATAACAGGTGGGGTTGTGTGTATAATGTGTGGACGGTGCTGGTAACGTGGAGGACGGTGTCGATAATGTGTGGGATGGTGCCGGTAACGTGTGGGCCTGTGCCGATCATGTGTGGGCCTGTACCAGAAATGTGTGGGACTGTGCCGATAATGTGTGGGACTCTGCCATTAATGTATGGGACTGTGCAGGTAATGTGTGGGACTGTGCAGTGCAGGTAATGTGTGGGACTGTGCTGGTAATGTGTGGGACAGTGCCAGAAACATGTGGAACTGTGCCAGAATATGCTATTAATGTGGGAGATTCTGACAGTGTGTTTCAAAGTATGCATTTGAATCCCAAAGTATAGAGATGTTGTCATATTATCATATTCTCGACCGTGTGACGTTTGGGTATAATACAACAACAAAACCAATCTAGGATGTTATTCACATGTAAACAAATCTGTGTTCATAACCTTAAATTTGATAGTTCAACTTAATAAGTAAGGTCAATTTAGGCACTTATATTTTTACCAATGTGTTTAATCGCACCCCATAGATTTCCATAGTGAAATCAAAATGTGTGATGCCAGTCTGCGGTTGAGAATATATAATACAAATATTTACATCACAATAGGTTCTATAAAGACCAATGGTTTCTAACGCTATGATGTCTGTTAACTCTAGTGATCTGCATATTTCTAGAATTGTGAAATTTTTGCTGTTTAGTGGCGTGTCCTGCACTCCTGCCGAGTTCTGCCAAGAATTGAGAATGCCTGCATCTGAATTTAGTTTGAAATCTGAAAGCAACTGTTGTTTAAAATACCACCAACCAATCAAAGATTTCATTGCTGTGATCCATATTCTCTGATTGGCTATTTCAGAAATGTAATTCTCAAATAGATGAAGTATCACTGTATTTGTCTATGTATGTATGCATTTACATAATCTCTTTAGCATTGCATAATACATAAAATGCAACCAAAACAGTATTTGTTTGTTCTCTATTTATGATGGACTTTGAATATAGCAAACTCAGTACCTTACACGTATTTACCATCAGCTGTTGCTGGGAAGATTCAGTAAATTTCAGATAATTTAAATTAATCGCACAGTGGCTCAAAATACTATGAAAAATGAATACAGCAACAATGCTTATCAGATTTTGAATGAATTGCTGCTACTTTGTGTATTTATGAATAACCCAGAGCACAATTCTCAAGCAAAAATGATCAAATGCATTTCGATTTTTCTCTGTTTATCAGGTGACAAATGGAGGAGCTGTTAGCTTTTGATTATTTTTGCGTGTTCTGGGTTGTTTCGTATTTCACTGACGTTTTACTAAATAGTATTCAATGGCACTGCTCATAGCTGCGATCACTCATGACTCTAAATTCCTAGAGAGAATAAAAAATCTGAGAGAAAGTTTTCACATAACATTATGGTTGTGTTTGTTTATTCGTTGTATGTTTTTTTGTTTTGTTTCGTTTTTTATAACAAAGCACTGTGTCTGTTTTCTGTTGTTCACACCTAATTACTTGTATATCACCTCAGCAGAACATCCCAGCACATATGTTCCATATTCATAATTTCCATGGTAACCATTTTACTCTGGTTCTAAATCTTGTGTTTCGATACCTGCATATATAGTGAGTACAGTGTAAACTCATTTTGGGTGTAAAATTGATACCAATCAACTATGTTACGCTGTATCAATGTATATGTTTATACTCATAATGTTGCTGTATTTTAATGTGGAAATCAAAATACAATATTTAAACAGTGTTTTAAATTCTGCTTCTTATGCATGTTATACTTGGTAATTTACATACTGGCTCATTTGCATATTGGCATTCTAAAAAAGTCTGTTATTGCGACCAATCATTTCAATGAACATTCATACGCAGATATCTTGTTTGTTTTTGGCAAAAGTGATGTCAGATTTCGAACTATGCAACGAAAAATTTCATGGATGATTCATTGGAATAATATTACTTGCTGTTCTGCTGGGAGTGTTTCATGGACTCGCGTGTCATCACCTCTGTCCCTTGTCTCTAGAATCAAAAATGCATGTACTTACCAGGAGTTCATGGTGAAACTAACCACCTTTGTTTTTACCTCATACCCGAACCTCCGTCATTAACTAATGTCTTTTTCTACCTTTTTCTCACTGCATCCCATGATTCAACAGCAACAGGTTTGTGTGTTTCTTATCTCTTTACTCTTACATTTATTGATTGTCTGGGAATGTTTCATAATCAATCTTTAATCCTTGACCTTTTACCTTAACATTATTCCCCCTCTACCCTGAATTGTCATGTCCAGGCATTGTTTCATGTCATTTTCCCCCCTGTTATAATCCGATGTACATTGTTTTTGTTCCTCGTCAACTCCTATAAATAACTTACTTTCTCCTTACAAAAAAACAAAATACAAAACAAATGATGTTATTCATTCTAGAGGGCACTATTTAGTTTGATGGATATCTCAGTTTTTGATCAGACATCACCAGTAAAATGAATCTTTTTACTATTATAAAACAACAATCAAAGACTTGACAGATTTTATTTATTGCATGTTATTTTGATTACCACTTGGTTTACTCTTCTAGCCCCATGTCTAGAATGCTTTCCATTTGAGATTTTACTGTGTTTGCTTCGGAGAATTATTCTGACTGTGATAATTAGCCTCTAACAAGATTAGCGGATTATCTGGAAATGCATACTTATGTATAAGATTTATTATTAATTATTGAATCAAACCTATTATGTTAAGTTTGGATGGTGTTCTGTGAATATGCAAGGGAAAAGAAAATTACCATAATTGGTCGATTTTTGTTAAAGTGACCTTAGACCAAGCAACAAAAATGTCATTAAAATTGTGAGTTGTGAGTTGAGAACCATCACTGTATAGCATCGTATCTAAACCATTGTCAGGATTATCTGACAACCCCTTTTGTTTTTTTCAGAACAAATTGGTCAAAATTGTGAAGATTCCATGTTTGGTTGCTGTCCGGATGGTAAAACCCCAGCACAGGGGATCAACGACGCTGGCTGCCCAAGTAAGAAGAACAATTCACATCTATACTGGTCCTATTATGAGAGGCTGACACATTTATTCAAAAAAACAAAAACAAAAAAGTTGCCAATAGAAATTTCTCGTTTCAGTTGGATTATAAAATTTATATATATCCATAAAAATGAGTCGTGGGTTTTCTCGTGTCAATAGTAAATTTGTTTTCAAATAGTTTATTTTATCACTTAAGATGGCTAGCACTTATGCATTGCACATAGAAATACACTGTAGAACCAAGGCTTTGGAAGATCAATGCTTTTGAAATAAAACATGAGTATTTTACATGCGTGACTTTATTTATTATTTATTTAGGTTCTTGTGAGTGCAATGCACTTGGTTCTTATCAGTTGACCTGTAACCCACAGACCATGCAGTGTTCATGCAAACCTGGTGTTGGGGGACTCCGGTGCGACCGTTGCGAGCCAGGATACTGGGACTTCCGAGGGATACAGAGTGGCAACAGTGGATGTAGACGTAAGTTGTAAGCTTAGCTTAGCTTTGGTCTTTGCTGTGAAATGCCATGTACCATTTACCCTAGTGAAAGCACATCATCAATTACATATATTGTATGCAGAACTCGCACCTGTCATTTACCAAAGTTAGTAATACAGTGTATACCATACATGAGCCAATAAGGCAACTGTGGTTGTCTTTAAACCCCCAAGCCAGACATTCTCAACTGTTCCATATGGGGATATTTAACACATGTGATTCTTATTTGCTTATAAGTAAACATACATATTCCAGGGCCTCATTTGCTTATAAGTAAACATCAACATTCCAGGGCCTCATTTGCTTATAAGTAAACATACACATTGCAGGGCCTCATTTGCTTATATGTAAACATCAACATTCCAAGGCCTTATTTGCTTATAAGTAATCTTACACATTCCAGGGCCTCAATTGCTTATAAGTAAACATCAACATTGCAGGGCCTCATTTGCTTGTAAGTAAACTTACACATTGCAGGGCCTCATTTGCTTATAAGTAAACATACACATTCCAGGGCCTCATTTGTTTATAAGTAAACGCACACCTCTGAGCCACACATTTCAGTAGAGGGAATACAATTTCAATAATAATAATTTTGCCGTTCCAGCATGTTCGTGTTCACGTGGTGGGTCTGTCCGAGATGATTGTGAGCAGATGACTGGTCGATGCGTCTGTAAGGATAACGTCATGGGCATGAAATGTGACTTGTGTCCATCTGGGCAGCTTATGGGTCCAATTGGATGTAGAGATGGTATGATTGTTCACTATAAATACTGTATTGCGCAAACTCACATGCACATTATTAACAAATTCTAAAAAACAGCAGCAGCATTATGACACCCAAAATTACACAAAACTCATTTAAAAACAAATCAATAGAAATCCAATTACCGGGTAAAATTTAAAATATTTGTCAAAAAACAGGTAACATGGATAGTTTATGAAATATAGAAAATAACAGTTGGTAATTATACAACATAACAAAGCATTTCAGACAATATATTATATGTCAATTATAGATTTGAATAGAAAAATGGTACTTTGTTTGAAACATCTGGTTATATTTAATAATTACCAAGGATTACGATTACTACTATTTTATATATATATATTTTACATGTATATTTGTTGGTCATCAATTTTACAATTCATAAGAAAGCCTTCAAATTTCAGATATTATAGAAGGCCTTCAAACAAGTATAGCAGATAAAAAAAATGCAGCATTCTGTAATACGTTAACTAATCAATTTTTGTTTTCAGTGGATGAGCCCACCAAAGAAACTGGCACAGCTTGCCATGAATTGGTATGCAGTTATGGAGCTATATGTGAGATTATGGCTGACGGTACGGCCCAGTGTAGTTGTCCCTCGTTGTGTCCTGCCATCTACACTCCTGTGTGCGGCACCGATGGTCAGACGTATGGTAACGAGTGTCAGATGTTGATATTTGCTTGTAGATTGCAGCAGAACATACAGGTGGTTAATACAGGACCTTGTGAAAGTGAGTACAGTCGATGTACTTCATAGTCTGTATCTTGACTCAGTTGTCTAATGTGTATTGTTGAATATCTGTATGCCATCTCGAGCTAGCAACACATAATCTACTACATTTAACTATTTAGAATTTGCTATTAGAAAATAATGAAGTTCATGCATTTCATTATTAATTTCAATCACCAATCACATTAAAAATTTTTCTGAGGATGACATGTGATCTACAATCATTTCTCACCATTCACGCTATCACATGCAATTTGCATTGTGTTTCAGCTACCTTGGTGACCCCGACAGTACCCATTGGTGGTTGTGTGATGTCTCGTTTTGGTTGTTGCCCCGATGGTGTCTCAGTAGCCCGTGGACTTGATAATGAAGGTTGTCCAGGTATGGTATTTATGTAATGTTGTGCACAGTAACAACTCATCCAGGAATTGGATGGAGTGTCTCACGTCTACATGTTGGGTTAATTTTTTTAGAGCAACATCACCTGATTAAAATATCACATGACTGTAATCACCTGATTTCTACTGACGTTGTGTTGGAGTGGGCCGTGGTGGATCAGAAGTTTATATCACTGTGCGAATAAGTTGACCTTTGACCTTTGACCTTTGAATGCGAAAGTCTGCTTTCACAAATTAAACCTGCATTAAGTTTTTCCAGATTTCTTCACAAATTTTGGTCAAATTCTATAGGAAATGGGATATTATATTTATTTGGTCCAGAATTATCGAAGAAATTATTAAAAAGTACAAATAAAAGTGCAAAATGTTGCCCCCAAATTTATTGAAAATGATGGCGTTGAACCATTGTTTGCCCATACCCATTGTTATTTCTATTGCACACAATTCTTAATGCAAATGGGCCATTCCAGTTTATATCTGCACCCCCCCTGTTGATGAGTTTGTGTGTTTACTTCATACAGGGTATAATTTCCATGGGTGTATAAGTCATACAAAGTTTTATTTCCAAATCACCATTCACCATACAGTAATGGAAATCCAAAACTATAGGTCCTACTTATGGTGTTGATGAGTTCCTTTGTGACACCATACAGAGTAGGATTTCCAAATATAACTCTCATCAT